CTGGCAAGTTCCGTAAAAAAATATCACGGTAAATTTAAAAAAAATTCTGATTTTTGTGATGATTTCTACCAGTGGCGGCCGTGACTTTTGAAATGGGGACACAATTTGATTGATGAGTTAAATATGAAGATATAAAACGGGCTGTTGTTACCAATTAATATACGAAATTGTCTGACGGAAATACATACAAAATACATTCAAGAAAAGTAAAAAAGTACTTGTCCACATACTTTTGGTTTTAAATCATTACTGAGGAGACACACAAAACAAAACAATTCAATTTATTATTTTTTTCACAACCGCACGTCCTCAAAAATTTACCATGCTAGTTATGTCTATTAAAATATCAATGAAAGTCTGTCATTTTGCCATGAACACCCTTTTTTTATTGATAAATCGGAGGTGGCTCTAAGTAAAATGTAGTGGTCACTGTTCGAGCACGACCCGATTCCAGCTGGATACAGCGACTAGACGCACGGTTTCCATGGCAACGGTGTAAACAAAACGTCTAAATGAGCTTTTATCAGCACTTCAGCAACGTATCATATATCCACGACACAACATCTTTAGATGTAAGTTTTGATAAGTATATTTTATACGAATGGAGCGTGATAAAAAATTAGTTTTGATTATTATGACACAAATTTTCGGATAATTTTTTAAATATTGAAAATTACTATTTTGGTATGTCTAGTGTGTTTGGAGACGTTGTAATTTTGGGGGGGCACGTGCCCTTGTGCCCGCTGGCACCGCCGCCCCTGACTTCTACTATGTGCTGCTTTTGTGTGTAACAGAAGTGTGTAAAATTTTCTTCACTACTAATTCCGGATATAATGATGTCAAATGTCAAAGTATACAATCGACTGAATTATATGTAAACTACGAACTATGTATAGCAGCGTAGCGTCAAAAAACGATTTAAAGTAAAATTTAGTAGATACTTCATTTTGTCTCAATCCTTATAAATAAAATCAAACAGAAATATTTACACAGTGCAGTGTAAAAGTAGAAGCAAATATATCAATCATCTTACAGTTTGTTTTAATGATTAAGAAAATATTTACCTAAAAGAAACCAAATTTTAGTTAAAAAGTCAACATTAGTCCAATGTTTCTTCAAAAATTTTCAAAAATAGTTAATCACAAACATATGAATTAAAAAATCGGTCGAAAGTTAGGTATTTTGACAGAACTTTCCTCCTCCCTGCAGATAATGCAAGCGTAGCAAGTATGATGTAGTTAAAAATAGCTTTACAAGTCAGAGTAAATATCCACAAAAAGATACAGTTTAACAAATCCCGTTTCTTTGAAAAATGATAAAATCTGAATTTGCGAGTTTTGTTTTGTATTAACAATTACATATAAAATAAAACCAGTCGTATATATAGTATAATATGAAATGTATTTAAATCACATATCCAACGGAAAAAATGTATTATCAATACATACTTAACTTCAGTTTTTTAGGTTTACACATCTAATGAATTGCCTGATTTTAATAAGTTTATTTCCTTAATTTAAAAAATAGGCGCCTTATTATGAATGGTACAATGGAGCAAAACGTTCTGAATGTTATAATTCTTATTTTATTATTAGATATTATCCCCCCCCCCCCCCCCCCGTCCATTGCATCCACGTATGAACATTTTTTAAAACTGACGGATATACCAGAATATCGACATTTGCTCTGCTTATATTTCATACCTTTAAAAACAATGATCGTAGCGTCGATCATCCTATTACAGCTTAGTAAGGTGCATATATACATATATGGATACAAGAGTATAAGACATCTGAGAAAGTTAGGTTATGAAAGAAACCATGACAGGTTGTTGCGCAATAATTTGAGTGTTATTTTTATTAAAATGGCTTCTTTTGATACACGAAAATCTGTATGCCTAAAAAATTAGGGCGGATTCATAAACTACAAGTACAGGAGTATGTTATTTTATAAAATTTAAATGGAATTTACTAAAAAAAAAATGAGGGGACGTCAACAAATTGTTGGCGGGAACGATTAACCAAATATTGGTTAGCTTTTTAGCATTTACATGATATTCTTAATTACCCAATAAAATTTTGTAACAATCGGTCCGGTAGTATCAATGATTATCATCTGTCTAATTAAAATCGATCGAGACGACGCACAGACCGCAGAAGGCAGATAGACAGAGGAAATGGAACAACCTATCCTTTCACATTCTACGGGTCGTCGAAAAAACATGAAAGTAACCATTCGCCCAATGGACCCGACACAATACTTCCTAAGCTTACGTTGGAGAATGAAAAACTAATTATCTTTCCCGGCGTTTTCAAGTATGTTTCAATAGTAAATCCGATCAACGACTTGTAATTGTTAAATTAAATAAATGAACAGTAGCTGAAACAAGCATAAAGGGTAAGGTTAATAAACTTAAGATTTATTAGACTTAAGGCTAACACACCTTGTATTATAAAAGCAGAGAAATGCGATCTCAAAGATTTTAACGAGATTTATTCTGGAAACAAACCGTACTCGCCATAAAATTAGGTGTTACATTTAGTTCTGTGGGCATAAATTGACGTAAAACATTAACAATAATTATCACATAAATGTTGAAATGAAATAAGTTACTTTTTAATAAAATTAGACCTGAATCTTAAAAAAAAACTAAAAAAGGAGTTATAAACGCTGGTAAACCGCCTACCACAATATTTAAAAGAAATAGAATTTGCAAAAAAAAAAAACAGTCGCCCTGCATATAAATGATAGAGACGCGTTAACCCAAGAAGAAATTCAATGATCTTTTTACTAAAAAATGAATAACTTTCAACGGCAGCCTTCCAGTAATTTTATTATGCTTCCGAGTTCTGTTCCAGTATTAGCTTCCTCAATATCCAGTCTATTCTATTCAATAATTACAAATCAATAAGCTATTAAAAGATTATCTATTATTATATTCAAGTTTTGGGCTGACGCATTTTTATTTTAGTTAACATAGGACATTTGGTTTCGGTTTCTGGCAAAATAATAAACGCAGTAATGAGGTAAATTTTTTAGGCTGTACAGTATACCATACTAAAACTTATGCTAAGGTAGATATTTCCAAATATACTACCCCAGAAAAGTGGGACAAAAGAAGTTGATTATTATCTGATGACAGGCCTTAAAAACAACACGATTTGAATTTAAGATTTAGGACCAATCATCTGAACACTATTTTTTTAATATGTAATATAAGTTTGAAGACTAACAACAATTCCAAATTTACAAACTTACAGAAATAAATTGTTTGTACTTTGTATGAATAAATTTGTAACTGACTATAGTTGTTAAACAATCTTAAAAATTCACATTTATGGCGAATCCAAATTTAGTATTTTATTCTAGCTTGCATTATATTAAGTCGTTTTCCTTTGGAACAAATGTTATCATAACGTGAGTACAGTACCTAACTCAGTAAAGAAAGTTATATGTGTACATCAACCCAAAATGATTAGAAATACGTCGGATATTGAACTGAATCACTTTAAATCGTCACGAGAACTATTCTGTCTGATATTTTTAGATTTGTTTTCAAATTCCACTGTTAGTAACTTTATATTTTTCAAATGTCACTTTTCCTATATTTATAAAATACTACAATCTTAATAAATAACAAATGGTTGACAGTTTATAGTAATTAGTGTCCATTGTTAACACGTAAGATTGATAATGCAAATAATTGTGACTTTAAAACCTTGGTAGTAGTAGTATTGTAGTATTTATCTCTTTGAAAGGTTCTTTGGAGTTTCTGATATTGACATAATATAATAATCGGTTCTAAAATAAACTTGAAGATGAGGCACTGGGTGCGCATGACCACAGCATCGGAGCACAATAAACACAAAAGGATTGACAACTGGACACCGCAGTTTGTCTTTAATTAAAAGTGAATTGAAACTGTGACAAACACATATTTCGATTTATATTTAAATCTCTGAGATCAAACAGGTAATTTGATTTATGAGCAGCCTTATTAGATTAGAAACGTCAACTGAAATAAATTTGATCGTCATAGTGCATTTCAATATAGCTACTTACCCTACGTACAATAAATAAGATAAGAAAAAATTTCTAGCACTAGAAAACTGTGTTTAATATACGGAATATGTATTTTTTTTCAATAAAATCAGCTGCCACGTCCAACCTACACTGACCACAATTTCCCTTGATTACAAATTTTTCAAACCGTATGATGATTTGGAAAAGAATTGAACATTTTTAATTAATGCCATTCCTGTAATAATTTATGTAGGTACCAGGTATTCAAGTTTTTTAATTCTTTTTTGAAACTGCTGATTAATCAACTTAATTTATCAGTATACATTCACTAAATTTTCTTTTAAACCTACTGGCATAACTTTATTCTCTCTTAATCCATGAACTTTTATTACTAAAAAATGCAAGATTTTTTAAAATCTTCAAACCATAAGACAATTTTTGATTAGCACAGTCGTCACAAAAACACATCTCCAGCTTTTAGAGACATCCATATTTTAAGTAGATATGTCTCTATTACCGTATTTGCATATTTATGATTATATATTACCGTGAAATTAATTAATGATAACGTCATCTATAGCATGGTTCTCAAACAAGTTTTAGCCGTGTATGTAATTAAAATGATTTAAAGTTTGGAATGTTTGTTTTCTATTTTTAAATGGATAAACTTATTTATTTCTGGTACGATTCTTATTTTTATTATGTCTGGGTGGATTTTGTACAATTTACTAACATTAGTTGAACGCTGGCATCTTGCTAAAATAAGAATCTAATTCGCCTTAAATTGGATAGCAGCAGATCAAAGTCGGTCCATTTTCATGGTCAAGAGGCTCACTTCCTGCCGTCAGCCTATATCCGGTCGTGACTAAAACTACGACTTCCCGATGGATTGGTAGGGATTGGGTAAAAAGACAAAATCCAATAATATATCATTTATTGAAAAACAATTAAAAATTATAAAAGTAGTAACAGAAATGAGTGAAAACAATTGCTTCATATTAAAAAAACAAAGCAAACGAGAATATAAATAATTTAAAGCGCAATTTAATCGAATTTGTCACAATTTGTATATTATGTACATTAAAATATATATATTTTTGGCTCCCACATGCAATATTTTTTAGTTAATACTATTTTTAAGACACCTAAACGTAAACGTTTCGAGCCAAATAACTAAGCATTTAAAATGCACGTTTTAAGTATACTTTTTCAGATAAATCTTTGATAAATTTTCACGCGAAAACAATTTAAAACCCTGCTAAATACAGTTTTAAAGCTTCTAATTTATTCCTATATTATGTACACATTTTAAGTAGGAGACTTCTAATATATTATTTATGTATATACTTACAAAATGGAAGATTGTTATTTATTTTAAGAAAAAATAGAAAAATGTGTGATATATTATGGTGTATGTATTTCTTCAAATATGAAAAACGATTACAAAAGTGATTATTATTGTTTATTAAATAATATCTGTAAATATTGCTCCCTATTGAAAAATGCTTAAAATATTGTATATTGAGCAACTCCGTAACTCAGACGTACTTAAAATATTTTACGGGCGCAGACGTTCCCGCGAAAAACGTATGTCAGCAACATGTAAATAGTAAAAACGCTTAAATTTGGCAAAAATGCAATACACATCGAATTCCGAAACAACATCCAAACTCTCATTATCACAAATGGAATCTAAAATAATTATAAGTAAGCGTCGTAAATAAAATCCTGCCGGCAGTGATTCCAAGTCCAGGACCGGCCCCGACTATTCTTCGGCATCGTCAAAGTTACTCTTGGTGGGCGTCTTCTGCTGATCTGGGTCCGCAGCGATCGACAGCGTCAAGGGCTTCATCTTCAACGGGTGTCCGTTCATCTTCATGTCCTTGAAATCGCGGCTGTGCGAGGACACCGCCCCCGGACTGACCGCTGGTTTGTGGCTTTCGCGGTTGGATTTGCTCTTGCTGGTCACTTGTTCGCGCACCGCCATCTGGTACGCCAGCTCGAAAGCCTGACCTAGGGTCAGGATTATCTCCGTTGCTTGTTCCTGCACGAAGCGAACCTGTCGGTTAGAAAACAAGAAAATCGGGGACTCACCGAAGACGTCGACTCGAACACGTGACAGTAGAAGCAGTCACCATCTTTCGTGATGTACGCGAAGTAACATTGGTTATCGGAATCTTGACAGGCGCAGTTGATGTTACGGATCTCGTGTTCACAAATGGTGTTCTACGAACATACAAGCAACAATGAGGAAACAAAGACATTTTTTGCACCGAAACTGTATACCAGTTACAATTTGCCATTGGAAATATTGCTCAAAACTACCACACATTACCTGTCTCCCTCTCTCTATATCCCCTCCCCTCCCTTCAGTTAATTATGTTAAAATATCATTACCTTGGTTATTGGGTTGATGAATTTTACTCCCTTGTAGGAAATGGAAAGGGTTATCTCTTCAGTGGGTCGATCTTTATTCTTCACTACTTTCTGAATCGACTTCTTCGTAGACTCAGTTCCCTTGAACTCTATAACGTTCGTGGAACCCAAATACTAAAATAAACGTTTTATGAAAATAGAAAGGATCCCCGGTACCTTACATTTGCAGAATACATAACAACTCGCGTTATCAAAATAATAGGTTGGTGTCTCCATTGCGATTTAATCGAGTTATCTCCTCCTACAAACATTTCGACTGGTTTCTTTTTTTCCGGTTCTCTGTTGATTTTGACCGGTGGTGGAGGCGCCGGTCTAGATTTTTTATGTCTGTGCTTAATAGTACCGGTAGAGTGTGCCGAAGGTGACTTCATCTCCTGATTTTGACTACTCCTCTGCAAAAATCTTTACTTTGCAACAGTACGACTCAAAGCGAAACATTTACGAACCAGAAGGTTTAGATCAACATTGATGTCTTCCAGTTTGGGGCCGGAAATGATATGTTCGCCACTACTAACACTGGCCAAGATGCGTTTCCGGTGACCGATCTTGTCAATGTCTAAGACAGCTGAAAGTTCAACGTCCCAAATTCGCTTAATGCGTTCCATGTCGTGGTAGAGATGTTTGTTGAATGTGTCGTAGTACTGGTCCAAATGTATTCGATTTAACCAACTTTGAACTGAATTTTGTTCGTTATTATTGTTGTTGTTACTAATGGTTTGATTGTGGATCTTGAGAGGCAGTCGCTTGACAGCATCAAGAATTATTTGGCGTTCCAGCTCGCTAGTGATTCCCATTTCGCTCAAGTCAGTATCTTCAATAACGCCGTTCTGATTGAAAATTAGTTTTGGTTAAAAAACAGAATTTAATGTTTTCTTCGCACTCGATATACTTTACAAATTTGTCACTAAACACCAAACGTGGTGCGAAGATCGACGCCTTTGGATAACGTGGTTAACATCATCAGATCTACGAAAAATTTAAGAACTACAACAAACGTATCGGCGGCAAAGAGTAATGAAAAATTGCCGTTTTCTGGATACTTGAATTAAAAATAAAGAGTTAGAAGTTAACACACGTACACTTTTCTACAGGGTTATTTCCTACAACCAAACCAGTTTTAACTTTTAAAAATTATTAAATATGTGATCAGCTGCAACGACTTCGACAAACGTGTCGTAACTAATATGATCAGATTTTCAGAAGGCAATACTGAAAAATTTGACATTAAATTAAAATACAAGTTTTCAGAGTTATAAAACAAGGGCCCCTTTTTGTACAATTTGAAGCTTTGCAAATCCAAATAGATAAACGCATATGAAATATCGATCTGGTAATCTGCAGATCGTTGTGAAGGGCTGAAAGAGATAATTTTCGCTCAGTGTTTGGACGGAAATACGGTCCGAATATCGAATAGTTCTCATTCTGACCACTTTAAAACATAACAGTATAGTATTGATCGTTATCAAATTTGTTATTGTGTGAGGTCAATAAACGTCGCTATTATTGTTGACAGTATAAATGAAACACAAGGTGAATGTAAAGGACAACATATTGTTAGCTACTAGTCTAGCCCCTGCTCAATTGTTATTGCGAAAATAATAATGATTAAGTATAAGAAAAAATGGAAGAAGAAACTTTATTTAGACAGAACTTCCCTCGCCTTAGATGTACATTATTAAATAATAAAAATTCTAAAATTTTATTTTGGAAAATTTTATTTATTTTATGGTACAGCCTAAAAGTAAACAAAATTGATAACATCAGACACAGTGAAATAAAAAGGCCTCATTCATAAGGTCATCGCGTTGCGAGTATGATATGCTACTCTATACGTTATGGATACGAATTGCAAGCGCTCCGGTTATAGTAACATAAAAGTTTGTTACTCAATTTGGATTTTTTGCGACAATCTCGGTACCTAGGAGACGAACCCAAGTTGAATTCATAAACCACACATGTAGTCGGAAAAATTTTGTATCCTCGTAACCTTTACGATTCTAACGTTAAGTAAATCCCAGCCGCGGTATTGTAATTCCATCAGACATGGATGGATATGCTACCTGCAGATAGGTACGGTTTGACAACGCTGGCACGCGCTATCTTTACAATTGCAAACGATTTCTCCCACATTTATAATAGTTGGACTATTGTTGCTTAAATTGTAGAATTGGCTTCTAAAATTTTACAAGGATACAAATTCTTTGCGAATGCTATACATGATTATGTTCTTTTAAAAAATTTCGATAACAGTTACATAACAACGCACAATTTGAAGGTGACGTCATCAAGGTGCCGGTCGGAATGATCAGGGTTGGTAGAATCGGAGATTATCTATCGACACAGACGGCAGAACGGGCGACACATATGGGTCATGAACAGTCGAGAAAACATGAAAGTAGTCACTCGCCTGACGGACTCTAACAATAGATCGTTAGCTGAGGCTCGGAAAACATAAAAATTGGAATTTCGTGGCAACGTCGGAGCAAAATGTCAGAAGTAGACGACGGTTTTTTAAAGCCTAGGAATAGGTCTATGAATATGTATTAAAATTTAAAATATATAGGTGTTCTATTAAAAAAAATAGTAAGCACCCAATTTCCGATTGATTTAACAACGTTGCAAAACGGCCTTGCTATAATGCTGTCGCAAAAATCCACTACATTGGGTATGGTGAGGTCGCAATTACCATAGCAATGCAGTTTTGCGACGTCGCTAAATCAACTTGAATTTGATCCCACAGTTGTCTTATGTCTCAAAAACAGAACAACCTGTATATTTGAAAATAATTTTAGTGTACGGTACTCAAAGAACCATATAACTTTGCTCTTGGCCTCTTTTTTTTATTTTCGAGCGCTTAGTACTTCATCCTACAATTCTACATATATATTATTTTTATATAAAATATATTGACGCGCTCTTTGATATACCATTTATTAATTAAGTATTATTACAGCTAGAGAAAAAGTCAAGAACCAAAGTTCTACGGTTGTTTAAGCAGCATAAACTGAAATTATTTTCAATAATGCAGAGCGTTGTATTTTTTAAACGCAACTGACAACTTAGTAATTCGTTAAACAGAAATTCTTATATATTTTTGCATCCTCTAACTTGTCCCTTTTTAAGCTTATATTTAATTTTCGCGCAACATAGTCAAGTTATTCGAATTTTCTTAAAAAAAAAAACACAATGGGAAGGTTTTGCAATAAAGTTATTTTTAACATGTGTTTTGCGATATTTTAGGGATAATTAAACAAAACGTATGCATTTTATTATAGTAACAACAAATTTAGCCTTAGTATACGGTGTTAAAAAAAAACAAAAATATTTTATTTGCCAAATAGTCATGTATTAGTTTTTTCACACCGAACATTTTATTACACTCGGGAAGTATAGTAATCTAGTCCATCGGACGAATGACCACTTGTATGTTTTCTTGACGATTCATTACCCCTACAGTACGAAAAGTCTGTAGTCTCCCGTTCCTGTCTATCTGTCTGGTGTCTGTATCCATTTTTATTAGACAAGTAAAATCCGAAACTGCTAACCAAAATTTGGCTGATCATCCCCACCAATGATTTGATGACGTCGTTTCAAGGAATTGTATTTTAAAATGATCTGAATGTTACACAAAAATATACTTCTATACTTGTAGTGTACGAATCCGCTTTCAGTTTTTTCGCTAAACGTTTAAATTTTCGCAAGGTATAATACCGTTTTATTCCCAAGACGGGTTGTCGTCTCTGTGGTGCGGTGGGTGTATTCGAGAGAACGGCAACCTCCGGTACTATGATTGTGCGTTCGATGCAGAACTGCCGTTTAGTTTTTTTTTCTTGCATTGGTATAACATTGTGACTACTTTTTTTATGCTGTGAGTAGACTTATCCATGTTGATGACGTCATCACAAATTTTGTATTGATCAAATTATGAACGAGTCACGAGTCACCCCATTTTCTGAAATTTTATAAAAATCCGTTCAAAAATACCTGAGTTATTGCGCACGAAAATATTACGTGGGACACCCTGTATAATAATGATAAAATAACGATTAAATAACAGAACGATTGTGGTTTAATTAATAATTTTAGTCCTCTGTTTTGAGAAGACAAACTCATTCAAATAAAACTAATTTCTACGTGACATTCTTTCGTGCATAAACCTAAATAAACACTTGAGTTTCAGATTGCTATTACCTAGTGCTGAAGGACATTTTATCACGTTAGTTACGTGCTTTCATATATGTATTTTACAACGACGCAGGGGCTGCGGGGGTGTTATTTATGCCTCTGGTACAGCGGTAATCATAAACCGAAAATCGTAAAATCACATTTGAACCCTCATGGCTCCAGGGTTCGAGGTGTCATTTACACCACTGATTTTTACTATATAAAGATTATCAGAAAACACTAATTTTTTATAAATTTTCAAACAAGCGGAATTTGTTGGATTGTACTTCAAGGGCGAGGGAAGTTCTGTCGAAGTAACCTTGGACCAATTTTTTTTATTTATCTAACGGTGTTTCATTCTCTTTTATTTATATTAAACATTTTCAATACCTTAAGATAGAAAGTGTCCGTAATTTTTCAATTTTTAACATCAATATATCAAAACAAAGAGAATATATATGAGTATTGTTGGTACTTCTTCATGAAAAGTACTGGCCTGGGTCAACTTTTATGAGAAAAAAAACATTGAATCTACAGTACCAGAAACGTTAAATTTTTAACTGCTCGTTTTGTAACTTCACCGAGAATTTAACGTAAGTGGGTGACTAATTATAATTTTACGTAAAAATACGTTTTTTTTTCCTACTACCTTTAAGAAACAAGAGAAATCAAAAAAATTAAGGAAAGTTCTTAGATTTATTATCATACAACTAATGTATCTAATATTTACAGTTTTCAGCGCACAGTTTGTACAATGGAACAATAAACTCGTAATTTAAATTTGGTACTACAAAGTCATAAAATAGTTTGTCAAATAGAAAGTAATATAACAGTTTTATGCGACACTGCAAGTTTATTAGCAATGAAATAAATTTACCCGGGACGGTTATGGAGAATATATAACGGTGCGACAAAAACAGTCAAATGAATGATCATTCATCAGTTTCGAAGGATGAAATAATTAAATTAAATTAGGTTAAATTCACGTCAGGATAAATAGTTTTTCTGAATGTGTTTATTCAAATTTTAATACAAACTTAAGAGCTCATTCAGAGAAGAAACATTTTTCTCTTTAAAAGATGTTTCTGGTCTGTAGTGCTTGCCGAAACATCATTTTTACTTAAAAAAATCCAGTATTCAGCTCATGGCGAATTTAAGATTCGAAGAAAAAGGACAAATATCTTTTTTATTATGCTTTTGTGATGAACGTGAGCGGGAGACGGGTCTCCGATTTATTTGTTTTTTTTTTAACTTTGATAATAAATGTGAAATACTCAAACAGAATAGGTTTTCTATCAGTATTTGCTTTTATTTCTCGTTCTCGATGGAATGCATAAAACTTTTACCAACGAGCTACCACGGATATAGACTGTTGCAATTTTTTTGTCGATTTCGTTTTTATTTTGGTCAGGTATTATTGAATATTGCATTCCATGTTTGTGTCGAAAAAGTATTGTAGGTTTTCAATAGTATTTAGTTTAAGAATTTTATCTTGTCCTTTTTTACATTTTTTTTACCCCCGATTTTATTATTTTATTAACTTAATAAATGCTTTTATTTTTGTAAATTATTTCCATTTTTTTTTTTAGAAGAAAGGACACACTTTTAAAAATTTAATAAATATTCATTTATTTTTCAAAAACACGACACATTAACTTGTCAACAAATAAAAGAATGAAAAAGAACTCGAATCATTTCAACTTACTAGGACAACTGTGGTCAGTAAATATCCCATTACTGAATATAAAATAATTTATGTTCCGCGTCCATACTTGTTGAAGTTAGTTAGTTGCAGCTGGTAACACATATTTTTATTCTAAATTTATCTAGTTTTAATGCGCTGAGTTTAATATTTTCGTCTTTTATAATTTTTTCGTAAGAAAGTTATTATTTATTTGTTTACCTTATTAAACATACGGGTTAATAAAATTAATTGGCACACTTAAGTAGCACACTTACCATACCTTTGTTGTAACTTGTATAAACTATTTTTTCGAAATTTGCTTCTTTTAATTTACACTCTCTTAGCAACACGAAATCTGGAAACATATTCCGCCACTCAGTTTCATAATTTCATATGCTTGACCTCACATACCTACCATTGTTAAAATTTTATATTTTGAACTAAAATACACGCGCAAGCAATTTTATAATTTTTATTGAAATGTTACAGATAACAAGCAAGCTTTAAAATTCATGTAATATTTGGTATGTTTTGACCTGAGAAGTCACGTATTTTTCAAATTATAAGAGTTGAAAATTAGTTTCTTATTTAGGTAAGCTGACGCCTCGAATTTAGTCAGTCTTTACTATTAGTTGTCTTGATGCTGCTAACCAAAACGCGTCGACCTTTGCGTGTTCGGAGGTGTTTAGTGTTGCTATTTTAGAAGAGCAGAATGCAACTGTTGAAACGTCCACAGCAACAGCACTTGGCGTTAAGCACAGCTCCAAAGCCCCGCTTTCTACTTACCAAAAAGTTGACATCGTCGAACCCGTTCGACATAAACAGCCCCACATAATCTGCCATGCCCAACGTCTGCAACCATTTTTCCACGGAATCTGCGTTGAGGCTATGCTGCGAGCAACTGAGCGTCATTAGTCGGCTCTGGAACTCTTTTTCTAGTTCTGCCACGAACACAGATTCCCGAACGATACCCGTCCCAAACGAAGCCATTATCTCTTGTATTTTTGCCCACTCCTCTTGCTCGTCAAAAGGACTGAGCGCTGAAACGCGATCTTTGTTCTCCTTATTCTCGGATTCCTTCTCGGAACTCGAGGATTTCTCATTATCGCTTTTTGGTGTGTCAGTAGTGGTGTTGTCGTATACACGTTTGAGTTTTTTCAGTGTCTTAGGTCGTTCGGCTGGGGTATTAGAAGTGACGTTTTCTAAAACCCGCGTTGAGCCCTTTATGAGACCTACAAGTTAATAACACGTTAAACTCGCGACGAGTGGCTTCATTAAGGCCGATGCGGTGACGCGGTAACAACAAATAAAACCAACACAAAATTTAATATCGTGTAAAACAAACTCGAGATAGAAAGACGGTTTAATTAACGAGACCCTTGCAATTTTCGGGTGATCATATTAGGACTTAAATCGGATTTTGATCGAGGTTGAAAGATCATCCACTTTATAACAGCACTTACTTAAACCTAATTACTAGGTAATAACCAATTTTCATTGCTAACGAAACTTCAATTTTCGCAATAAATATCAATTTACGACGTGTATAAAAATTTAATGATAACTGCGAGGAATTTGAGAGGCAGCCAATAAGGAAGTTTGAACTTTATTATGTATTTAAAATCGATTTCGTTTTTGAAATTCTTATAATAAGATTTTATTGGTATAGAGGCGGACACAAAGAGGTGTACTAAATAGGTTCAAACGATAACAAAAATACATAAATCATGGAGAGACCACATTTAGTAAAATAGGTGTTTCTTTTCAGGTGTTTCTTTTCAATGTGATCAGCCAACTACTGCAACACCATCACATATACCGGACGCCCCAGATTCTACAATTATTTCAACCGCGGCTTACGATAAAGCAAAAGAAATCGAATTTTAACAAATACCACAACTGCAACTCTCCTTCCATTATTTTTATCTATTTTCCTTGTCATAAATGTCGGATGTCAGCACAATTGAAGTTTCGTGTGCACTAACAAAAAACATGATTACTTTCTAACGTTTATGTGTGATCATTATTATGTCAAAACAATGTTCATGTACAGGAGAATTAGAACAGTTAGGGAGGTTGTGTCCAAAAAGCTGTTTTCACTCTCATTTTCCACAAAAAAATCGCCGTTTTTGATTTCTATGGAGTTTCGTAAGTTAAAAACAGTGGTGAAAATCGCGTTCCGGAATTTCCTTAAATAATTGAGATAGCTTCAAAGTCGCCTAGTGTTTAAAATAGACAGATGGAAGAAGAAATATTCACTGTCACTTCATTTTGGAACATCTTTTGTTGATTGTATATTTTGGAACATTTGAACGACAAATTTTGCCAGTGCGACGTCCTGTTACTGACGGATAGTGATGTTTCGTTTAAGTAAATCACAGTGGTCAAAACACAAGAAATTCTTATCTTGTATTTGGTCTCTGTTGAATTCTCTAATCTGATAATTTTAAGAATCTATTTTCGGAAGTGGTGGTAAATAACTCTTGTGACAACGTTCCGATCGGAGTGTGATGAACCTTTTCAAATATTTGAGAATTGTGTTGTAATGAATTCAGAATTTTATGCGAAAACATATTTCCTATATCTGTTTGTAAACTGTTATGAATGTTCGATAAAAGAGTGTACCTACTTTGTAGAAATTCAATATGCATTTCACACTATCATAATAGTTAATTAGTTAGTAATTTTTTTGTTTAATATTTGGGGACAATAATTTACTTACCTAACCTTTATATTTTTTTCATGGCATTTTTCAAGTAAAAAGTGACATTACAATTTTATTTAGGTAAAAAACGGCGGTCATTTTGTAGTTTTTTTTATTAGACCTTTTAGTCCAGTAAAAAATTTAACGCTAGTTTATAATAACATGCGGCTAACAAAAAACGTCATTAAGTTGATGTTGATTGAGCAAGCTGTCTTTCTCCTCATCTACTGTGTACAGCGAGGTAATAGAAAGAGCTTTCTCGGTCAGCGCGAACTTGAGCATGATTTTTTTTAATCGCACCTTATTTGGTATCGAAATGTTCCATCACTGAGCATTTGAAATATCCACTATTAAATGACCAGTCGCAATTTTTTACACTTCTGTTCAGTACAGTCACTCTTTATCTTTGATTTCGACGGTCCAAAGTATCACTAATAGTCCGAAACGTTTGAACTTAGAACGCTGGAGACATTGTCTCAATTTTTTATATTCAGAACAAAGCACAAAAATTCTAGACACTTTGGTCTGAAGGTAAAAAAAAAATTGATGGCACTTTTTTTATTAACATATTCTCACGTTATTTAGTTTGCCTTAATTCTACTCTAAACGAAACACATCTACTCGTTCGTTTAATCTACGTCTACAGATAATGACTCTACCTGCGAAAGGAGCGTCCGAATGATACTCTTCGACGATATTGTCGACGCTCCTATCAGAAAGGGAGACACTACTCGACAAGCTTCCGCTTGATTCGTCGCATACCAGAAGAAATTCTTCTTCGGTTTCAGTCTCCATATCTTTCGATTGCCTCTTGTACTTCTGAGACATTCAGAATTACTTCTAGAAGAAAGCTGGCGGAAATCATGCGACATGCCCGCTATCGTAAGCCAAAAAAAGAGAAAACCGGACGAAATACAAACAAGCAAACAAAATGCAATAAGCTTTATTAAATAATATAACAAATACATAAATACATTTAACAACGTAACGTAACGGTAATATAAAGTGTATACGCAAATAATGGACGTGTAATACTGACTGACATCGATCATGCTACTTTTACATCATAAGCTTACCTGACTAAGTGGTCGAATTTTCTCGTAAATTAAAGTTTCAGCTTGCAAAGCGGATGGAGGAGGGTGGTCGGGAGTCGGAGGTTGTTTATAATGGGTAGGACTTATAGGGTAATTACAGTTACTTTTAGTTTCGTCATCGCCCGAAACCATTATAAATGCACTGCTGACGAAGGTGGGTTCAGGTGCAGAACAACTGGCAATCGGTTCTTCCTTTTTCCGAAAATCGTACTCCTCGTACACTTCTGGGTTTCTCCGCAATTTTCTTCGCGGATTTTGCTGCTTTATGATCATGTTTTCGTACATAGAAGTGATAGCCACCGGCTCAGGCCGTTTCCGACAGTCCAAGTCTTCGCTCTTCCCTCGATGAAGCTCTTTCGGCCTCTCCTCGTCTTCGTCTAACGCTATATTGAAAACGTTCATTTCAACATATTGATCAATGCTTCGTCCATGCATCAGACGTTCTCTCCGATTTTCGTGTTCGACGTCGCTCAAATTGCCTTGACTTCTGGTACCACTATGGGCAAGGAATAAGTACTCGTACGCGTTGTTGCTGACGCCGTCTACAGACATCGACATAGGCTGTAAATGCGTTGGGGAAACTGACAGGTTTCGTCGTGGTGGTTTCTTAGGAGGCGTCGGCTGTTAGGATCACAAAAATAAAAAGAAAACACCCGTAAGCACATCGTGTTGGGAGTAGTACGAAAAGAGCAACACTCACCGAAACTTTGCTGTTAGAACTGGGACTATGTCCCCCTTTAACGTTGTTCATAGGGATATACAACGGGACTCCACCGCTGTCCGGCCGCCGTGGATACCCCGAACTCGATGCCGTCGAAGACAGACTAATCTGATCAGACTCCCTGCTCGTGCACAAATAATTGAGATCCTCCGAATGCACGCTCGAATCCATAAATGCTTTCGGTACGCAGGGAATCTGATACAGACTATTGTCGGACTCCCTGGAAGAATTAGAGTGTCTCTCATCACCGACACATTCGCATGCTGTGTAAAAGGAATCAGTGGAAGTGGTACTGTGTTTTCGCAATGATAATTGTTCGCTAAACGAAAACGTTATTCCGTCCAATGGGGAAATATCAGATGATGATCGAGAAGCTTTACTCGTGCGTTTTTTAGTCGGCAAGCTTTGGTATAACTTGGAATTACGCCTAAAACATGCATAAGACTAAAAAGCGAAATCAAACCCGTTTACTCTTTTAGTTTTGTGATCATGAGAATTATTATACATGCGTAAAGTTAACTCCAAAACAAATAGTCAAACGTGACACAATGGAACTTACATGGATATGCCCGAAACTCCGGATACTCGGCGATCTTCGAATCCTTCTGGAGGTCGAGCGTGCCGCTGGTAATCCCACCGCTGCGGAGAAGTGCCAGGAGAAGGATCCGTTGTCGTTGATCTGGCATTTTTTGAGGAAGGCCTTACATTTTCGTAAGGACTTCCGATATCCGAGTCGGTGTTAGGCAGAGTTGGAAACGGGTGGCTAATGCTTTCACCGTCACTGTCCACTATCGTTATACCCCTCTTATGCCCTAATATACATAATTTTATTTTAATTCGAACACTAGACGCTCGATTAAGTCGTGAAACAAAAAAGTAGGCAAAACATTGAGTTGCCCCAATTTTTACACCTATTTAACTGAATGAAAAGAAAATTCTCCCGTAAGAAAGAGAGAAAAACAAAAATGTTGATTTTTTTTAATCCTAAAAGTTATTTTTTTTTAAATTGCAATTATATGTACAGAGTTATGATAAAGTAATGGACAAAATTCATAAAAAGCGAAGCATTTGTTTTTGAAAAAAATGCAAAAACAAATAAAGCCTTTCATTTTATTACTGCATGCATATAAAGTTCAAACACATGTATGAACTATTAGAAGATGATCCTGACAGATGAGTGGAATTCTGTGGAAGCTGCATGAGACAGTATAACCACAATCCCAATCTCGATATTTAGATCATCTCAGAACCGCAGTGCTTCCGGATCTAATTGCCACGTTTCATGATCCAGATAACCCACAAAATTTAGATCGCAGGATTTAGTTCCAACAGGATGGGACACTACCACATTATGGCGTAAATGTAAGGGTTTTTCTGGACAATCACTTTGATGGAAGGTGGATTGGAAGGCGTGGACCAATAAAATGGCCACCTAGGTCTCCGGATCTGACACTTGATTTTTTAAGGGGACAAGTCGTGTTTACATGAACAGACCCGATAATTTAGACGATTTGAAAGCACGAATTCGTCAAGAAATGGCTTGTATAAGTCCCCAGAGTATTGAAAATTCCGTCAATTAGCTTTACCATCGTCCGGGTTTGTGTTAGATAGTGAATGGGGAACAGTCTGAACAATTTCTACAACAGCGTGTTGTTCTGTTTTTTTAATACATATTTATATAAATAAGTTTATTTCGTTTATTAATTTTCTCAATTTTTTTGTTTTGCAACTCCTACATCAAACTACGTTTTCATATGCAGAAAAATAAGCTTTATCAAATAATGCAATCAAAATTATACTTGCCTATTAAAAAAAATCCTTACAAATTTGACGTAAAATTTTTTTGACATATGTCAAAAGATTAGCTTAAAACTTGACATGTTTTTGCATTTTTTTCAAAAACAAATGTTGCGCTTTTTATGAATTTTGTGCATTCCATTATCATAACCCTGCATATGTAATACACAACAAAATTGAAAAATAAAAAAAATGATAAAAATATAGAAAAATAAATCATTGAAGAGCAGAGTTTTACATCGAAAAAACATACATGGGGTACGTAAGTAGGAAAGAGAAACTTGTGAAGATTTGTTTGTATTTCACAGTTTTTTTTACAAAATTCTAGAAACAAGTTGTGATAAATATAAGAAAACCTCCGAAAGTTTTAAGAAATTAACCCACTTATATCCTAAATTATTCATCGTTTTATAGTTCGTACAGGGTTTCCAGCGATTTGCTGTAATAAAATTACTTTCCCGCGTTTTCCAGTAACTTTCCCCAGAAATTTCCAGGTTGTACATATTAGTTGTCAGAAATTTTCCCACTAATGTTTGCTTTTTATACAGCCATCCAATAGGAAGCTTTGCATTTTTGAAATACGTTATTATAATTGGTGGTAATTTTAAAACAACCAAGTATAATAGCAGTGATAAAGAATCATACAGATTCTACAAGACACAACAGAAATGAGACTAAGATAATAAATAGCAATCAGACTATTATAAGTTACATTTTTCAAAAAACTAATGACCTTATAGTCCAGTCAGTAGGGATAAAAAAGGACCTTTGCTTTACAAAAGGTGGGATAGTAATGATTCTGACATATGTTGTTTTGGTGGAGACCTTAGGAGATGAAAGCGCGAGCAGCCACCTTGAATTAAAGACATTTTTTTCAACATAATTCAAAATAATTCAGCAACGGTTCATCCTAGAAAAAAAAGTGTTGTCTACAAAGTTAAGAACAACAAAAGTTGGCACATTTTTTTGTATAAACATTTTTTTTTGTAAGTCTAATATTTAACGCAGTATAGCGGTCAAAAAGCGAACTTTTACAAAAAAAAAAATCAAACATTAACAACACTCTAACTCTAACACTAGAATAGCTGTTATTCGCAGCTTCGCTTGCGTGAATTTCTCACTTATGACATATTACTTTCCACTTCCTCTTCCCCCCTCCCCAGTGAACCCGTCTAACTTGAAACTCACGGAATTTTTTCGTAGAAGGTGTTTATATCACCAAAGGAACCTATTGTTGAAAGTTCATGTTTGTAGCTTCAGTAGTTTAGGCTATGTAATTGACGGTCTAGATTCGCTTATTTGTAATCTATAGATACATATAAAAGTGACTGATGGACTGATCAACGCAGAGGCTAAACTACTCAAGCTAGAAACATTAAATTTGAACAATAGGTTCCACTGGTAAGAAAAGATTTTGGGAAATTTTACCTCTAAGTGGGTAAAATAGGGGATGGAAGCTTCTATGGGAGTCCCGTGTGAGATTTTAAGTTACCCGGGTCCACTAGAGGAGAAGGGAAGAAAGACGAAAACTTTTACTTGTATTTTTCATCATTTTTCATTTTTCAAACAACATAAGCACTACCAAGATTTTGTGAAGACTTAGCGGAGAACATTACAATTTTTTTAAAAACAGCTCAAACACACAAGGCCAATAAAAAGAATTCCAGGTGTTTTGCAACGTTGGTATCTTGAAAATTCTGCGTCCTTCGCAAACGAGATGGGTATCTTTGAATAGCGTCATTGATAGAATTCATAATCAGTGAGAAGCATTAAATTATTTTTCACACACAACTGAATGAACCATAAGTGCCATTCTTCAGAAATTACCCCTCAAGCTTTGGGAGATCCTTTAGTTCATCTTTATTAAGTATTTCTTTTTAAAATTTATGTTGCCAAAAGTGACTAGGCTCAATGAACTGTGCCGAAATGACTCCTCAAATTATATTTGTATTAAGAATATTGTTACGAAATAAACCCATATGCCGCCCCGGTACGACGCCTATGGGTTTACGGCGATGATGAGTGAGTCATCATCGGTGACGGTGGCCGGGCGATGTTCGACTAAAGAAAAGCCTGCACGCGGAAGCTGCAATGAGTACTCCAGAAAAATCTCGATCGCGACATTTCTAGAAAAGAACGTATGGGTTTTAAATGGAGGTCAACGAGAGAGTCCAGTCAAGTTGCGCCGGAATGATTTTTGTACATAATCGTTGTGTAGTTTTATAGCCTTGTAAATTTGTGTTGCTGAGAAATAAATTGAGGTATTTATACGTAAATTCACATGACTATAGTAATGAATAATTGAAATAATTTTTTGTTAGATGTAGGAAGTTTCTAGTCACTTTGTGAAATGAAATAATAAGCAGATTTCATTTTAAGGGCCCAATATAAAAAATCTGCATAGAATTACTAATAATACGGATTTACAACATTGTGATTCAGAATGTTGCTTATATTGGTTGATTTATTTTGGTATAAATTGTCTGAACTTCAGAATTTTACAGGAGCCAATTTGTACGTCAATCTATCAAAATTTGTCCTTACTGTTCTAAGCTTTCAACCAATTAACCCAATCTCCTTCTTTTAGCAAATGTCGCCAGTGAGCAAACCGTTTCTAAAATTTATTTAATAAAGACTGATCTAAGATACATACTTAATATAGAAACTGTATCAAAGACAATTCTTGCTTCAGAATATATAAAGAATCTAGGCGGTCGTGTCAACTTTATTCCGACAGATAAAATGGTGATAAAATGATGACCAAAGAAAATTTAGGCCTAGGAATAAAAACAATACAAGTTGGAGAACCAAGTGTACGCGGGGATAATTCGCGTGCAGAACATCGCAAAACATGGGAGGATCCGTTCGGTACTCGTTCGGCTTCCGTCGATTTCTTTCGTCACGAAAAAAAATTAACTAATATATATTCAAATATCAAATTTATGTACAACCGAGGTTTTCCAGGACATTTCCAGGTTTACCCGGATTCCCAGGTCGGTGGGAACCCTGTATGAAGTCATTGTTTTTTTCTTGGTGATAGAAATGGCGATTTTTCACTTGAAGTAAAATATATCAACAAATATTTCTCGTATGCTATATTTTATAGCTCTTCTTCACGCAATTGAAGAAATGTCATCAATTATTTTCGTTTTTAGTATTTCCACTAATTGGCTTATTTCAACGACTTAAGTACGTCTGACCTGACTCTAGCAAACCACTACTCCTTTTAAGATCTATGTCTCCAGTACTTACTTTTTAAGATTCCCATAATTTCTTGCGAAGCCTGCGCCGTATTGAACTGACTCAGCAAATCCATGACCGTATAATTGTGCGAATCCCTGATCGCGGTGTTGACGCCGTGTTCCAGCAGCGTCCTCACCACCTCGACCTTGCCGCAAAGAGCGGCTTCGTGTAGAGCCGTCCCCGACTTGGTCCGCATGTTGACGTTGAAGCCAGCCCTCAACAGAACCTCCACTACGGCCCTGAAATCGACGGATTAATCGACTAAACGGCATACACCTGTGGTGATGCTTGCGAATGGCAACGCATTAGAGAACGGTGGATGAGCTGCAATATGTGGAGCGATGGCATGTGTATGCAATCTGGTTTCGCATTCGCATGGCAGCACACGCATATTGCGTACATAACACAGCGAGGGGGCGGCAAGAGGCAAGGAGAGGCCCTGTGAGCTGGTACAATGGCAAAGCCGGCGGGTTATTGCGGGATTTTGGAGAGGATCTGCCGGAATTTAAGTTCGTGTGTCGAACGCGCATTAAAATTTATTTCGCAGATTTCGAAACAAAACAACGGGTCACGGAATCGTTAAAAAAGTCGAGTGGAAGGGTGTCAGGAATAAAAAACTGCGGGCTCGTTTTTAACGAGGTAAGCATTTTGCTGGACGTAAGGATCGCCTGTTTAGCTGATCGTTGCGTTTTTTAAACAAAAAGATTGAATTTGCTTAACAAATGCAAATATTATGTCCATATTGTTGGTTTTAACGGTCGATAACATCAGACGATGAACATTATACATTGAATGTTTTGCGGATATCCATGAAAGATTAACTTTTGATACATTATGCGGTTGCTCATGTATCGTTTACCGCTGATTTGTTAAAAGAGGAAATATTAACATTAAGTGGTGCTATGCTATCGTCGCTAAGCTGGAACGATACCTCTTCTATTAGTACACTATATAGATACAGATCTACGCTTATTAAGAATAAATTTCAAAATTACTGCAAAAGTGGCATCCAAAAACAATTTATTCTACGAAGTATACTATTCCTTTATATTGTAAAGTATATTGTTGTGAAAATTGGCATCCAATTCATATTTAACCTATGATACCTCAAATCCATGGAAAATAATGGCTATTATAGTTTATTCCACCTTCGACGCCGTATTGCCAGGTAAAAATGCATCGAATTTCTGAAGAAATGGGTATTATACACGAACCTTATACACTTATTCATGAAGTCTTTGTCGTTTCGCAAGTAATGCTGTTCAAATTGTATTTTTATTTATCATAATCAACTGTATTTTTTACTTCTCGAGCGTAAGCGAACAAGGTCCACCGGGCGGCTGGCTATTTTCACGTTTTCTCGAAGTTTCATGACACCTACGGTACGAAAAAATTGGTCCCCCGGTTCCGTCTGTTTTTATTAGACAGATAAACTCCGAAACTACTGGACCGATTGTCGTCAGATTTTATATGTCCCAAAGTGCTGTTTCCATTTGAAATAACTTTATAACAATCAAATCAAGCGTATCGTCATGAAATAATTAATATAATAATAATATTGGTTCAGAAAATGTTAAAATATTATCAACGAAGTGTGCAGAAATGAAAAAACTTCATTTTTATTTTTCGCAGTAAGCACTGCTGAACTGGAAGGATCAGCTGTTCAATGCAGTGAAGTTGCGTTTTAATAATTACAGGTCAGTCGATCAAGTCCGCAGAGGGAAAAAACGCGCAATTACGTTGTTGGAATTAATGCACCTGCACTCATGCATAGGTTAGGGTGTTTCTGTGCAACAGCTTGTTTATGATACACACCTATGAGCACATATCAAGCTGACAATGACTGTGAATCACGTTCGCTAGAATGATGATCAGTGGTGGTTCATGCATCGACGGTAATTAAGGGAACGACCGATCAGGGGAGTCGTTGTTCACTTAATGCAAATTGTCTACGAGGCCCTCAGCTGACTTCCACGTCTACTGCGCCACTATTGAGAGCTTTTAACGGCAGGCTTTGCTGATTAAATATGAATGTATGGTGGGCACCAAGCAACAGTTAATGATACATTAATTAGGGTAACAATTAATTCTGATATAATAACGTAATAATCTCGGTTCCACAATCTCTAGCACATTGACGTCTCCTTTGACTTCACTGTGTTTGTTATTAATTTGCAAAAATAATGTTTATGGCTGTAACACATGGGAGAGACTCGTAAACACTCAACGTATCCCATCCAGATCGAGCTGTTGCTATCATAAAATGTGTCATTCCTCTTTTCTGAAAAAGACTGTAATATGAAACAAAAATGAAAACATTATAGAATTAAATTTCGTAATGTGTACACAACTGGCTTCTCTTTACATTAAAATCTTTAACGCGACTATTGAGGCTCAGGATACCGATTAGAACTTTTCTGATACTAAATAAGGCGTGTCTAATTTATCGGCTGATTTCTCATTTACATAGTGGCTTTTGGTTTCCGGTGATAAGAAGTAGATATATGATCCTATCAGATAAATAATGTTGAAGTTTACTGTTCCAATTTGTCCACAAAGATCTGGTTTTAATGACGCATTTAAAAAACAAAAAGAAAAATTCTCCGTCGTTTTGTGGTCTCTGACATTAATTACTTTTTTTTTATGAATCCAAGAATTAACTTTTCCACCAAATTATATAATTTTCCGAGTTTATCGTTCTGTTCTTGAGCTAGTTTCGTGGATCTTTCCATCTTAAAGGAAAAAATGGCTATTCTTTTTTCAAAAAAGTGAAGGCTAGACAACTCGTTGGGAGGCTGCAGACTGCAGTTTCGATCTTGTTGGATCTCATCAGTACAGCCCATCCCATCGAGTTGTCTAGCATTCATTGTGTTTCGCTTATGTGCTTAAGCGTAGCAACCATTGCACAAATTTCCTCACTAACAGAGATCCCATCCATATTGGATTAATCATTTAAAACACATACTTAGAAATAAAGAAGTCAAGTGAGAAGGGCTTTCGAAATCATTCTGAAATTACGGAAAGCTTTCTGCGGGGTCATTTTGGAGCGATGTTCTAAAAGTGAACCAAATGTGAGACAACTTTGCACTTTACAACGGTTCGGACGAAATTTCGAAAAAAAAGTTAAGATAAAATTCTAGGAGGGTTCAAACAATCGGATGCCTACAGTGTACTATATAGTGCATTGTAGTAACTCGAAATCCGTTCTCGTTTTTCTATTTTCCCGCCTCGTTACTTTTAACATACGCAGACAAATTATTAGTCAAGATTTATATTTACTTATTCTTAATTAATGATAAATGAGCTAGCAAATTTAAATAAAATTTAACAAAGGTTTTATGTAGTTTAAGAGCGTTCTAGAATTAAATTGAACGTTATAAAACAGCAGTGTAACATTCGATAAAAGGCAAGCAAGCTATAAATCTTTATTATAGTCGTCCTTGTTAGATATCACTTTACTTTCAAATTAGGTCAATTGTTCGTAAGGGCTTATTACCGCTTTAAAAAAAAAATCTTGAGGATGTATATTTCATGCAAGAGAATTTTATCAGCTCCCTTAAAAGTAAGTAATCAATTCGTTACGTACATAACGTTTTGTACATAAAAAACTTTGCTTAAAGCTTCTATTGTGCTAAAATGAACAAGGACATAATATGAGTTGGTTATGAATGAAACAAGTTTTTGGTTATACGAATGCCAAATATTTGTCAATTTTCAATGAACCCACTACAAACCATGTACATCTTTTGCCATCTAGGTAGGAGCACGATACTCCTAAAATATACAATATATACCAAATTTTACGACAATCGATCCAATAGTTCTGTCTAATAAAAATCTACATAGACGACAGACGAAAACGGGCGACCTACTTTTTCGTTCTCTAGGGGTCATAAAACATTGAGAAAACTTAGAAAGAGCCATTCGTCAGTTGGACCCTATTATAATGCTTCCCTAGCCTACGGAGAAGTAAAAACAGAATTAAATTCTAAAGGAAGTGAAATAACAAAAAGAAAACAAAACCAATTAAAGAAAATTAAATCGAAGATTTAAAAAACGGACATCAAATGAAATAATTTTAAATCCCTGATACGTGTTAACTTCTAAAATTTAATTTAATAATAAAAAATGTCTGCAGTCATATTTCATATCATTACTAAATAGCTTGGTTTTAAAATGTTGTAGACTAAACAAATAGATTTCCAACAAAATTGTAGATATTGACATATTTTCCAACATTTCAGTAAGAACCGTTTGACACGATGTTATATTTGGTACCAAAATTGCTTAGTTTTATTTGTAGTTTTACGTTCATTTTTATGACCAAAATTATAAGTAAAGTTAATATAAAATATTGTGACTAAATGACACACAACGAGAATTATTATTAAGTCATTTCCTTTTTCCCTATATTTAGGTATATATTTGAACTTTGTGTAAACTGTGTGATCAAACTATAGATTATTTTTGTCTGCTGGAATAAATAATTCGAAAAATTACAAAAACTAATTTTGCAAAATTTTATTATTACCTCTATTATTCTTTATTCCTATAAGTAAAAAAAAATATAGATAATACCAGACAGAATTTCCTTCTAGATAAAAATTTTTATTCCATCCAGAATTGCAAAGCTTTGCTTTCTGTAAAACACAAAAGTGATATGAGTATTCTGATCTATTATACTGTGTAATTTATGCTTTATTTATTATATTATTATGTTGTATTGATATCTCTTATTACCGTATTCTGTATTTTTTTTTTTGTATCTTTTACCATCTACATGATATTTCTAATGTGCATACAAAATCTAACAACAATCGATCCAGTAGTTTGGGAGATTATCTGTCCAATAAAAATCGACAGACATATGAAAACGGGAGACCTATTTTTTCGTATTCTTGGGGTCATGAAACGTCGATTACGATCCTTCCTAAGCTTACACTCATTAAGTAAAAATTAAATCAAAGCAGATTCATGAAACACGAGTATAGGAGTGCAATCATTTTATAAAATATAGGTAACCTTTACTACGCAAAAAGATAAGCGGACGTCATCAAATTGTTAGTGGAGATGATTAGATACATTTTGGTTAGCCTTTTACCATCTACACGGTATTCTTAAAATGCACAAAAAATTTGACTAGTTTCGGAGATCATCTGTCTGATAAAGCCGACATAGACACAAGCACGACAGACGGAAAAGGGAGACTCACTTTTTCATATACTACGGGCCATGAACCGTCGATAAAACATGAAAACAGCTACTCGCCGGATGGATTCTTTTGCAATGTTTCCTCAGATTACAGCTCGTAAAATAAAAAATTACAAATTTTATAACAATTAATTATTTTTCGTGCAAATTGAACTAGAATGAATTACTTGTGCAACTTGTGGGTAAAGTGGTATTTTTAAACCCCGACGTAAAAAGAAAACTGCTTTAATCGAGACGGTTTGTAGTTATGTTTCATGATAATCACTTCAGCCAATTGAAGATCATCAGATCATAACACAGTTGGTGTAAGAATCAACTCGACCCGCGTGAAAGTGGGGATAGAGCGTCGACCGTCGCAGCGAATCTCAACCAATCTCAAATTTTCAAGGGTTCATTGCTTTTATGTCGGCGGTTTTTTAGTCATTAACACTTGTTATAATAGCTGCAAGAAAAAAAACGTCTAAACTAGACGTTTACCCATCCTTTTTAGAATTGCATGCATGTTTATTAAGTTTTGTTCTGAAAAATAAAAAAAAACATTTTAAACATTGTTACCCATTATGAATTGTTTTCTACAGTTTGTTATTAAAATCATTCGATTTTTAAGTTATGTCTTTAATTTCATTATTTTTAATAATACGTTCCACTTGATGATGGAAAACTGTAAAATGGAATTTTAAATAAAAAAATCTTTGTATAACTGATGACCTATGATTCGTTCTTCGCATGCTGTTAATCACCTTTTTCTGTTGAAACAGATCTTCCATATTTTTGTTTAACTTGATATTATGTATGATGTTATTCACCTTTTTCTGTGGACACTGATTTTCCATATTTTCGCTTGACTTGATGTTATTAAATGAATTTTTTGATCGTCAATACAATATTCACGTAAAAATGGTGGAAGTTTGAAAAAAAATTCTTCCGCCGCCCCCACTGCTAAGACCGCTCCACATGTTCAAAAAATCAACTCACTTGTGGCCATTCCTGCTGGCCAGGTGCAAGGGCGTGTGAGGGTAGACCGTATCTGGCGCTGCCCTCCTCAGACACTGTATCAGGCTCGGGTCGGTCCTCACCAGAAGCTCCACGGTGTCCAGTCTTCCGTATTGCGCGGCCAAATCCAGGGCCGTCTCACCCCTGCAGTTCCGGATTCCCGCATCGCAGGCGTGCTCCAGGAGCAAAGAGACGACGGCAGTATGACCGTATTGTGCGGCGCAATGTAGCGCCGTTTCGTCGTCTTTGGTCTGCAAAGAATAAATCAAAATAAGAAAACCTCAACTATCGGCAAGTCAGTTAATTGAATATAACGAGCAAAGTTTGGGGAAAAGAAAAGAGCGTTCTCCGGTCGAGTTTAGTTTTAAATTTTAAATAGGCAAAGCTGTCTGTCGACGGCAGCTACGCCTCGAGCCGGTGGCATCCAAATTAAGCGTCGGTCCAACGAACACGGCGTGGAATTGAAAAGATCAGGGTGAGTTGGCATTCGCGAGGAGTTTTACAATAACAGAGTGACAAACACGATTCCGTCTCGTCACCGAAATACAAAAAAGGACGTCCGACGGAATTATACAGTAGCTTTAAAATATGTATCGTTGGAAGATCAAGAGAGCGGTAGTCGATATTTGGAGATTCTTGTAAGTCGTAATACTGGCAATAAATTTAATAGGAAGCGCCGAACAATTAACGACTATTACTTTTTTTAGAATTTATGCGTGTTCGTCACCACACTTATAATTAGATTGATTACAGTATTCTGAACCAAATATAGACACTGTTGTGATTGGGAAAGTCAAGTTTTAGTCTTTCCTAGAATCCTAGAGTTTTCCGAATTCTATAGTCAGTCGTTGATCTATCTAGATTGAAAATAATCTGCAAAGTTCTGTAACGTGTTGACAAAGTTCAAGTGTTCCTAGGCTAAAATCCAAAAGGATCTACAGTAAAATGATAACTTGCAGTAACATCCCAAGTAATATATGTACATAAAAAAAATTGAAATTTAGTTATAAATAATTTATATCACTGCTATTATCAAAATAATATTACATAAATATAGCCTGTTCCTTATTCATTCAAGGTCATTGTACACATTTGCAAAATACGTTAACATAAAACAGGAATTAGTTTTTTGCCTTCGTCCTGCGTGCGTGTCATAGAGAAACAATTCTTGCTATTTCTTGTCGACTTTAGCGTAGCGACGGAACCGAGATGTAATTTAGCACTTAAAGTCGGCGATTCTACAGGTTTCTGTCTGTTAAAAACGTAGAAACAACAACGGGGATTTCTATTACCGTGTTCATTAGTACTTAGTCAAATTTAATGATCAAAAAAAGTTCTAAACTTGACCTACTTTTTTAGTTGTCTATGAAATAAAAAAAATCGCTCCTCCTTGAATCAGAAATTCCCTATAAAAAATTGGTTACTTGGACAGAACGTCCCTCGCACTTAATGTCGAACAAATGCAACTTTTTCAAAAAAACAAATTTTAATTTGCGATTTTTTTTAAATAACCGCTACCTACATATAAGTGTGACGTAAATAACAGGCCCCGCAATCCCCCGCCGCGGAGGCGCAAATTCCAAAGGAAGTGTGAGCAGACAACCAACGGGAAAAATGTACTCTCATTATATGCTTTACTTCGACTGTTTATGTTTATACGAAAAAATTCGACTATTAAGTACGTGCGGACAACCAAGCATCAGCGGCGGCAGATCAAAGTCTGCATTTTTGTTAAAAGAGAAAGAAACTTGATTAATTTTGTCTCCTCAAAATAGAGAAGAGGACTAGTTAATTAATTAAGCTAAAATGTACCAAAGGGTTCGAAAAATATGTTGAGTGACTAGGTGTTTTTATAATAATTATTTTATTACTATTAAATATATTCTTACACTTTCGAGAAAATTGTGTAAACTATTTTTAATTTGATCAATAAAAAATTCCTTTGTAAAGCGGGCGCTCAATTACAAATTCCACGAGACTCGCTTGTCGAACTTTGCCAAAGTGCGCAATAATTTTAACACATAAATAGTTTAACTTCTGTAATAAATTCCCTTGGTATTTTCATTTTAATAACTGAGATAATAATTCTCAAATATTCTGAAATCTTGTATATGTGTTATCTATGGTAGACGCCTAAGATCGCAAAGCATCTACGTAACTTCATTAAGATTAAATTATCATTTTCAGTCTTAAAGCTTGCTTTATTTTCGTCATTAAAACATAGTGTTCCCCACTGTGTTTTCTCATGTCTTAGACTCGAACCTAAAGCTTTTCTAAGATCTGCTTAGTCCGTTTTTTATCTTCTAATTGTGTTATTGTTCTTTTTTGATACCTTCTTCATTTCATTTTTCTAAGGAAAAAATTAATGAGCCTAATACCGAAAAAACAGAACACTTTTTACACTAAGTTCTGAAAGCTTCAGAAAAAAAAAACAGAATAAAGACCATTTGAGCGGAAGGACCGTATGTTTAAAAACCACTTAACCGCTTGTTAAACAAAGATTTTTATTTTATTGAAACTATTGTAAAAATAACAAAATCTAGATTTATCGATTATAATTGTGATGTTATCTATCGACACTATTTAATACCAAATAGTATATAAGTATTTAATTATCTCATAGTTCTGACAGCCCACCCAAAAATTAGATTGTCTCAGTATTTCATGTAAAAATTATTTCATCTTTACAAAATACTTCGATAAGATATATGTATTATCCAAGAGAATAAAACAAATTAGTCAAAAACTCAAAAATAAGATTCGACAGATCTTTTTTCACACAAGCTGAATATAGTAGAGCTTAAAAATTCAGATTTTTTTTTAGCATAACTAACAATAGAAAACATCAAAAATGTTAATAAAAGTTTTAGCACAAATGGTTTTGTAATTCGTAACGTTGCAGTGTTTCTTTTTAATTTTGAGTACAGGACATAGTCTCAATCGTGTGATATTGAAAAAAGATGGCATGTCCGATTTTGCTTGAGCGCTACTGTATATTATATTATAATATAGTATAATAAACAATAATCCAAAAAACTAGTCTAAAGTTATTAAGATAGAACTTCCCTCTACTAATATTAATTTAAGAGTCACAGTTTAAGAAACAAAAAAGGGCCATGGGCGTATCGACTGCGTGACTGTCGGGAATGGTGTCTAAAAGGTTATTATACAATATGGATTTTTTGGGAAAATCTGGATATCTAGAGTGGATTCACAAACCGCAAGTATAGGAATATGTCATTTTATAAAATTTATGTGACGTCGACTAAAAAAATTTTGGGGATAACGTCATCATGGTGGTGGAGATGATTAGCCAAATTTTAGTTAGCATTTAACCATCTACATAGTATTCCTAATATACATATAAAATTTGACAACAATCGGTTCGGTAGTTTCGGAGATTACTTGTCTAATAAAAAGGGAAACAGATACCTGACAGACAGACAGACAGGCGGAAACGGGAGATTACTTTTTTCGTAGTCTAGAGGTCATGACACGTCGAGAAAATGGCAATTCGACCGATGGAGTCCATTACTATACTTTCTTAGCTTACGCTCGAGAAATTTTGAAAAGAAATTGAGCGGACGTCAACAAATTGTTTGTGGAGATAGTTAGCCAAATTTTGGTTGGCATTTTATTCCAAATATGTATACAAAATTTGACAACAATCGCTCCAGTAGTCTCTGTCTAATAAAAATGGAAATGGGAGACCTATTTTTTCGTAGAACACGGGTTAAGGAACGTCGAGAAAACATGAAAGTAGCCAATTGCACGACAGATTCTATTACAATACTTCCTTAGCTTACGCACGCGAAGTAAAAATAAAATAAGCGAGCATATATTTAATTTCAGTGTTCAAGCATAAAAAATTCATTGGGTGTGTTAATAAAGCATTAACAGAAATTATTAATTGATGTTTATAACAGGGTTATTTTTGATCAAAGTAAAAAAACAGTAAAAAAAGGGGATACCAATGGGTCTAGGAATTGTAGACAAACATTCATCCTTCCAAGATTTTGAAAAAAATTTTGAAATGGTTTTGCTAAACAACTAAATAATTAAATTATTGGAAAAACATAATATCCCCATTCCACAACAATATGACTTCCAAAAAGGTACCATCGATGCTTTATTATCATTATTAAATATGTCAAAAAAGTTTTGAACAGAAGCAGCTGTACTGCATTGAAAACAGTACATAACGGTATAAGCAAAATGGAATCTTTTTTTGTGACAAATGATCACTTGATCAGGTTAGCCAAAATGGCAAAACTACACGAAAAGTCGTACAGGAACAGATAATTAATAGAGCAAAATGAAAACATATATAAAGCGTTTGATTAAGAAATAACAACTTGGGTACCTACATTTATACAAAACTCACTTGACATACATCTTGTAAAACTAAAATAATAATAATATTAATAATAATAATAATAATAAAACTTTTATGACTTAAGCGGCTGAAGCCAAAACAACCCATAAGTCAAACTGGCTATTGTAAGTTTTATGGATTATTGTCCATTGTTGCTATAATCAGGCGCGGATCCAGGGGGGGGGGCAATGGGTGCAATTGCCCCCCCCCCCCCTGACACACGACCGAGGTACTTTATTTTGAACAATTTCAAAATTTTGAAATTATGTTTGATTTTGTAAATACAGTACAACCTCTATAATCCAAACTCACGATTATTTCAACATCCAGTAATCCGAACAGAAACTATTTGAAGTCGATGCCTCTTTAATCCGAACAAAAACTCTGCAATCTGAACTGAACTTGAAAACATGCATCTACTTCCAAAAACGACGCAAGATCTTTTCGCATATTTATGTTGTATGGAATATTTTGAAATTTTTAAAAATTGCGATATTTCAAAGCACTGAATTAATTAACTAATTCTGGAAAAACGGATGAAGTTATCGGAAACCCAAAATCTACAAAGAGAAAGTATTTGGTTAAACTTCGAAAATCGTCGAAAATGGGTTGAAATTTGCATGAGAAATATTTCATTTTTGAAAAAAATTCCTAAAAATTCTGAAAAAATTCAGGGATATATATCCCGACGTGCTGATTCCAAAAATATACCATTTTCATGGTAACGGAGCAATATCTTCGGAAAATTCGCTGTGAAATTTGAGTTTTTCGAAATTTTTAAAAATTGCGAAATTTCAACTGGACGATTCTGGAAAAATGGTTTAAGTTATCGAAGAAATGAAGCCAGAAGTGACTTTTGCGGTTCAAAATCTACAA